AAAAGAGAGGGGAGCAAACATAACCTGAAGAGATTCGCCTGATTCAACACTGCCATGGCTTAGATCCGTGGATATGACTGAGCTCCCTCCTTCTCCTGTGTAGCCATTCCTAGGCGCCATTGACGCTGAGAAAGAACAGCTCGTGGTCAATGCTCTGTTTTGCTAGAGACAAATGAGGAAGAAGGGGGTAGTGTGGTGGTGGGGGCAGGGAAGGGGGGTCCGTTACTGTGGAATACGGTGGGAGTGGAGGGGTGATAAATTGAGATACAGATGAATACGAGAGCGGTCATCGGTCCCACTCTGTCCTGGCCGACATGCAACGCGAATCCACATGCTAGCGCTAGCGGACTGGATTGCCGCTGTGAATGGAACGCGAAGGACAAAAACCGCGTCCGTGAGTATTGTGCTGTACGCTTGTCATCAGCTTGGCTCTGGCGGCGGCGGCGGCGGCATTGCACGCACGCACGCGCGCACCCAACCAAGCCGATCGAGCGTCTCTGGTGTCATCAATCAACGCATATTTGTGGTTTACCAGCAAGTCATTACTCTCTATATCTACTTGTCCCAAATCTACCTTACCTGTGTCGGCATCACATGCGGCTCTCTTTGTTGACTAATTCAGAAGATGAGGGCGCCTGATAAAACCGGACGGAGAAATTGATCAAAAGTGCAATGCAAAAATAGAATGAAAAGGGAGTTGTGTTGCACCTTTTTTTCTTTTAGAAGAAGAACCACAGGAACACCACTGAAACGGAATCAGACAGTTGCGTAAGTTCTAAAAGGAAAAAAAGGTTCAGTCCCCTGTGTTTTCTATCCAAATGTGGTAGTACGACGCTTGCGACGCGTCTTGCCCCAGCAGACTTGAGCTTTTCGTCGGGGATGGGAGGTCGATCGTCGACGTCCATGTCCAACGCATGCCTGGCCACACCTTGCCCTGAAAGCGCATTTCATTCCGCAACTTTCAGATATACTCCCTCCGTATAGCAGCTCAAGTGCGGACTTGAGCAGCCAGGGTAGGTTATTATCAGGGTAGGCAGCAGCGGCCGAAGAAGAACACACACGAATCTTGGCCGTACTAGTAATAGTATGTGTGGGTTGGAACTTGGAACTAATCAAGCTGGTGATGAATGAATGTATTGTAATTAGAGCAGGTCAGCAGGAGGAGGATGCCGTGTCAAAATCAAGGCACGTATAGAGACAGCACCAGAGGCATCGCTCAGGCATCAGCATGCCGCTTTCAGGCTTCAAACCACGTCGGCTCAACTCATTCAAAACTGCAAGCATTGCCCCAGGAAGTCGACATGCATGCTTAAATAATCGGAGGTCGAAAGCTGTCGGTCTTTCGGTGGGTGAAACTCATTAGAAGTTACAACCTGATTTCATTTGTTTTGCATTCGATCTCTCTCAATTTCGCTCCAAGCTACGCTATTGTTGTACTCCCTCCGTTCCGAATTACTTGTCGCCTGGCCTGGAGCGTCCCCTGCATGAACCCGTCCTCCTCCTTCCTCACGCTACATAACAATGGTCGATCGTGCTTAACCAGCGCGCTTTATTTTATTTTTTTATTTGAGAATCCGCTTTATTTTAGCTGACGGGGACAACTTGATGGAATCGCAGCTTCGGGCTTTAATGGGGTCAACTCGCTCGAAATCACAGTAGAGTAGCAGCAAAACCATTTCTACAACGGGGGAGACGTACAGAGAATTGATGCCAGCAGAGACTTTCCTTGTGTACTCTCTTCTCCGTAATCAGAGTGTGCTTGTCCGTGATATTGAAATGAAGTTTACATCGTGAACTGGACGAGCGTATGTACTCTTCTTCTTCACGGACCATATAGCTATCAATTTCATGCGCAAACTATTACTAGTAGTGAAACTAACACAAACATGTGGATTTTGTGCCATTGATTTGTCATTCAAAATAAGTTTTCAACAGTTTACGTTACTCATATATGCATATTTGTGTAAAAAAATTTGTGGGTATTTGTCTAATCGATTTTTTGGGGGGTATTTGTCTAATTGATTGTCAACGTAAAAACTCAAAATGCCTGAATACCTTCTAATCTAGGAAAGTTGGGGTATATTATAAGGGTTTGCTATCTATTAATAATTGTTTATGAGTTTATTGATTTTATCTCAACGGAAGTGGTTTTGATGACCACGTGGCAGCATTTTCATGCATGTACCAATCCAATCAAAGGTTTCTTTGAAAATGAAAAGTGCATATGTAATTTTTTTAAGGAGAAACATAGACGAAAATACACAACAAAACCTAGTTCTAGTCGCACCCACGTTCAAAAAATATTAAAATAATTCAAATACTTATGAAATTTTTTGTAACCAACATGGTCTAGCGTTATACTGGCATGTTAATTTTTGCGGAGAAATGACTTCTATGGTGTTATATGCCAAAAAAAAGTTCTATATAAAAGTTACTATTCTAATTTTTAAAGTTACAGTTTTACTTTGTTTTTCGTCCAGAAGAACACAAAAGTTACCTTTCAAATCTCTCATGATTTTTTTTGCGACAAAAACTTTTAATCCATTCATCAACTGTCAATATAGTACAAAGAACATCAGAGGTAAAAATTACATCAAGTTTGTAGACCACCTAACAACGACTACAAGCATTGAAACGAGCCGAAGGTGCGTCGCTGTCATCACACTCCGTCACCGAAGCCGGGCAGACCATGTTGTAGTAGACAGTCAGGAAGACGAAAGTTACTATTCAAATCTCTGGTGTTGTTTGCTATAGAAAAAAACTGTATTGCACTTCGGTGTACAGTACTAGGTGTTGTGGTTGACTTTTCACTGGTTGACTGGAAAACGGTCATTAGCCTTGTACTCCCTCCGTTTTTATTCTGCATGTTAGAGTTGACTGAAGTCAAACTTTGTAAATTTTGACCAAATTTTTAGAAAAAAGTACAAACATTTCCTATAAAAAATATATATGATGAAAGTACATTCAATAATAAATCTAATGGTATAGGTTTGTTATTGTATATGTTAATATTTTTATTTATAAATTTGGTCAAAGTTTACAAAGCTTGACTTTGACTAAAGCTAATACGCGGACTAAATAAAAACGGAGGGAGTACTAGTAGCTATGACGAACCAATATACACGTAACACGTGGCGGCTCCCAAGTAAAAGCACACACGGTGACCACGAACTGAAATCGCCAAAAACATCTCAAATCACAAATTGACCTCTTTGCCGCTGGACAGAGCTAGTGGACGGCGTGACGGCACATGGGGCAGTCGGGCTTGCGGAGGAGCCAGCTACGGATGCACTCGAGATGAAAGACGTGGGAGCACGCCGGGAGCCGCCGCCCCGCGCGCTCGCCGCCGGCCTCGAACTCCTGGAGGCAGATGGGGCAGCAGCCGCCACTTGCAGCACCGACGGCCACCGGCGGAAAGAAGCCGAAGCTTGACGATCTTGCCGGCCGGTCGAGGCCCACGACGGCGCTGTCGCCTCGTCTTCCGCAGTACTGCGGGTCGGCGAGAGCCGTGAGTTGGACAACGGCGCCGACGGTGCGCTTGATTCGCCCGGCGTGAGCGTCCAAGGGGGAGCAGTGGTCGTCATGGCGGCGGTGACCCCATATGGCCATTAGGGAGTGGGCGAGGTCGAGGGACATGAGCGCTCCGGCGAGCGCCCCCAGCAGCGTCCCCTGCGCGAAGCCGTCCTCGTCGTCGACGAAGCCAGACAGGAGGCCGTACGCGGCGCCGACCACCGTCCCGGCCGCCCCGAAGATGCCGAAGAGGAGGGCGCGCAGCAACCCACCGGCCACCCGCGCCACCACCACCATCTTCGCTGATTATCGCTCCGGACGCCGGGCCTATGTGATGGTAGGATCGAGGGCACACAAGCTGGCCAACCACGTAGTCCATATATATAGCGGGCGAAGAAGCTACTGGCTAACCTACGTGGCAGTAGGAGATGGACGAGCTAGCAGTGGACGGATCCGAGTCTGTTCCGAGTCAGAGAGCTTGAGCAGTGGCGTACGTGTCACTGGTGACAGCAATGGAAAATGCGGTTGCACGTCGACGTCGAGGCATTGAAGCACCAAGGACCGGCCTCGTCTCATCCCCAGCAGCCCAGCTCCCACTCCACTGTGTAGATTTTTCCCTTTGATATCTCTCTATCGTATAGATTCTACTGGTGGCCAACGTGCTCTACGTGCATCTGGTGGCACGAAACAACACGCTGCCAACTGATCGTCCATGCATGCAACAGTATATGCGTGCACGCACCAGGCAGCCACCCACCTGCAAAATGTGTTCTTCTAAGGGTCCTGCAAAATGCGTGGGTGGATGGCAATGGCAATGGCACGGCTGGTACGCGGGCCCAATTATTTAAGCCACTAATGAATCTAATTAGAGCGGAGGATGTTGCGTCGAAATCGCGCACCATGAAACGTTTGGAGCGGAGGACCTTGGAGAAAGCCTGATTTATTTTTCTAAACATCCCTGCTAAGCACCTTACATTGTATAATGTCTAATGAATCTAATTAGGGCAGAGGATGCTGCGTCGAAATCGGCGCACCATGAAACGTTTGGAGCGGAGGACCAGCCTATGCCCAGAGGAAGCAGCAGGAGGTCGACAATGACCAACTCGGCCGCCATGGCGCTGCTTTCAGGCTCATTCAAGGCCCAGAATATGATGCGTACGTGATGCAAGGTCGAGAAGTTGCATGCCCCTCCTTCGGTGGGTCTTGTCAGTACAAGCCGCGAGCTGGCTGGCTGTCCGGCCGGGGGACGACCTTTTTTTGGTACGTACCAAATTGCCTTGATTAAGTAGCACCGTACGTGTGAAGTTGATTTGTTAGCTAATCATAAGTGCTAAGAAATTAGGGCCTGATTTGTTTGGCCATCAGTTCGTCTTTCTTGATTTGTGGATCACAGTGCTAATCAAATGCCTAATGGCATGATAAAAGCCGATGATCATAAGCTATGTCCTTGATCGCGAGAACAGTTAGGCTGCTCGGGGCCTGGGGCCCTTCCACCCACCGGTGACCAGAGCAAAACAGAGCGTAAGACGACCGCACAACAGTAGTGGGAGGATCCACCGATCCAGCAACCTGTTCTACAGGAACTCCGAAGCAGTCTCCCAAAGATTAGTTGCACCTTTTTGAAAGGAGAAAACAACTCCGAAGCCCAAGTGAAGATCGATTCTTATCAGGACATGTTCAATGATGGCATATGAATACATATGTCACATGACAAAAAGTAGTTTGAGCCATCTATAATTATTTCTTCTTTCCAATGCAAGCTACAACTAGTGGGTCTTATTAACAAATAGAAAATAAAGACTCTACTTTTTGATCCAACCTTTTTAGCTTTTGACACCGGACCATATTTTTTCTCTCCAAGCACCCGCCTCCTGCAAAGGATCCCACTTCCCTATCCAAATCTATTTTACCTGATATCCGATCCTACATGACATGTGAGGCATCACTCTGGGGCTATGCATTGTACATGCCCTCATGATCGCCCAGAACAGAGGACAGACATCAGCAGCTGCGCGTCATCCGAACCTAGAGCCACACAATAATAAATGAATGGTCCTCATTTGATCATGATGATTCATGGGACCAATCTAAGTACTCAGTTGATTGGCATACATGTGTACAATACCTAACACGTACATACACTGCCTAATTAAATCGTGCTATGCCAGCAAATAGTTAGGAGGACAATAGTATCCCCAGCCCACCAGAGTTCAAGTCATGTTGCTCGCATTTCTCCTGGATATATTTTAGAATTTTCGGCGATACACGTTCAGAGGGAGGAGACGTTTCCCTCAACTACGAGGCACCTATAGTGACTTCGTATCTCAAGATGGTATGCCAGCTCTAAACCTGATGACGCGATATCAAAATCAATGAACGCGCGCCTTAGAACTTTGACCCGTAGAGTGGGGCGGCTTTGTCTCTCGCCCATAGCATGGGACAAGTACGTCTCGCCTCAAGGACAATAAATGGTTCAGCCCATAATTACCCAGGTACATGTACAACTATTTTTATTGATCTTTCTCGTCCTTTTTTTTGTTTTTTCTAATATATTTTTAATATATTATAAATACCTATTTTCTGAAAAACTTAATGTGCTTAAATTTTGAAAAAATGCTCACCGTGAACCAGAAAAACGTTACCACATCGATTTTTTTAGTGTAGTTTCTGAAAAATGTTGATAGCATTAGAAAAACATTTGCGGCATTTAAAAAGTGTTCACGACATTTTTTATTTTCTATAACATCACAATAAATGTCTCTGTAATTCAAAAGAAATATTTCATGCCTTTTGAAACAAATGTAAGTTATGCTTTAAAAATTGTTCAAGCGTTTCAAAATTATGTTTGTGAAATTTTAAAGAAATATGTTTATATAATGTAAAAAAATTGTTCGCATCTTTTAAAAATGTCTTATATCATTCAGAAAAATGTTTTAGTGTGTATTTGAAAACTGTTTAACATGTATTTGAAAAATATTCAATAAATATATTTAACTTTTTTAAACATGTACTAAAATTATTTTTAATTATACAAGAAATGTACAACGCAGATGAAAAAATAGACGTCAATACATATATTTGAAAAAATGTTTGTCATGTATTTGAAAAATAAAAGAATGGTCCTGGTGTATACAAAAAATGCTAATGTGTACGAAAAATGTAGACATGTGTTGCAAAAAAAGAGGTGAAAATTGATGGAAGAAAAGAAAACCCCGAAGAAAGCCACTGCAAAGAGTGAAAACATCCGATATGAAACAACACGGAGAAAAAAAATCTCACGCCGCATCTACAATACTAGGCTGGCCCAGTAGCACCACGCGAGAGGTGAGCCGAAGCTACGTCCTGATGTAAGCCGATTATCTGTACGCATGCCGGAGCTATGTCTCGAAATCGACGCCCCACATGTGTAGAGACAAAATGGCTTGATAGAATCATGGGCTTAAATGGGTCGGTTCAGTTGAAACCATACTAGCAAAACTCATTCTACAAGAGATCATGACTAGAGACGAATGGAGAGCTGAATTTAGGCTCGCGAGAATTTCAATGTGCACTGTGTGATATGTAAATGAATTTTACGTTCTAAGTTGGAAGATTGTTTGTATGGCACCCCCTCTTGACGCAACTGACCATGTGAGATTTATTTTTTACCATCGATTTAATCTATAAAATATTTGTTGAAATACTACCTATATATAGGAAAAACTACAGTCGAACACAAGGCCCGGTGGATGTAGCCAATCCGGTGAACCCTGTTTACAAATTTTGATGACGTGCCTCGTGTGATTGTTGATCCTTGGTAGATCGACTATATGCCTCGGATAATTCAAACATTTATTTGGTAAAGTTGTGATATCAAATGACATCATAGCTTGATGTGTAGCAGCAACACTAAACCTAAACCGTTTGTGTTGAAGATTCTTTTTTTATGGACGTATTGGAGATCATTTTTAGGGGCGAGACTAAGCTTTATTGAAAAGAAATGTTCATAAGGATACGAAAGGGGTCGTGCGGAGCACCAAGCCACAAATGACGACCCTCATCAAGCAAAACTGAATACTTGGCCAAACTATGAGCGCTCTAGTTGCGGAGGATGGCAAAGATGAGTGGTGGAGGTACTTTGGGGTAAAACTAGGAGAGAATTTCTTATTTGGCCCTTTCTTAAAATTTACTTCCCTATTTGGCCCAAAAAAAATCCCTATTTCACACTTAAAGTAAACTGTGTTCCTTATATGACACTTCCGCCCATTTTAGGTACTAACGGTGTCAAGTGTGAGGTGAAAATACCATTTTGCCCATAGTGCATTGTGTAAAAAAGTAATGAGTTCACCCATGTTTTAAGGATGTTCAATGGATGTTGTGCATGCATATGTATGCTCCAATATTTTGTTCCTTAGATAAGCTAATATTTGTGTGTACGTACAAAACATCCATAGAACTTGTACTAGCATATCTATAATCGGTATACTAACTTTTTTGCATATAAGTATAATGACATATACCATATTTTGGTTACTTCGTCACGTGCGAGTGCGCCTGTGGAGTGGACGGCCCACGGCGCTAAGGCAGGTTCCTTGGGCATCCATGAGGATATGGCTCCACGTGCACGGCGCCGGCATCACATGCGATCCATGGCAGTCGCAATTAAAGATGGGCTAGCTGTAAGGGCATGTTTATCCCTAAGGTGTTTTGGTGATTGATGACAACGCGTTTGCGGACTAATCGTGTGCCTTGAGTATCCCAGACATTTCATCGCCAGGCACAAGACGGTTGGGTGCGCCTCGAAGACTATTGAAGACGGCGTCTTTTCTACGTTTCTTTTTAGTGGGTTTGAGTCGTAGGAAAGCCGTACTATTAAGAGGGGGTCCGCGTCGGAAAGGTTTGGGTGGAATCATCACGTACACATCTCCTTCGTGTCCCCTCCTTTCCCTTGGAGCATCCTCTGCTTTCTCGCCGCTTTGTTTCTGGCTGCTGCGTTGGCTCGCGGTAGTACTGCTCCCAAGTGAGCGGTAGTACCGTTGGCACCAGCGGTAGTACCGTGCTGCGGCGCGGTAGTACCGCTCCCTTGGAGCTGCACTACCGTTGGCCACCGGGCTAGTACTGCTCCCTCGCGGTAGTAGGGGCGGATGTATTTTTTTACATCCGCGCCTACCACGGTAGTACCGCTTTCGCTCCGCGGTAGTACCGTGCTATGTTGTCAGGTAGTAGTATCACACCTCTGCAGTACTACTGTGTCGGGTTTTTGCTTCTTTCGTTTCTTTGCGGAAGTAGGCACGGATGTTTCCTTCCCCCTAGCTAGG